TGGCACGCTCCCTGGCCTGTGTAATAAAGGACAGCAAAACATCTCTTTTAAAATTAGTTCTCCCTTCATTTTTACTCACTCCTAGGAAATTATGACCACTGCAAAGGGACAGTTGTAAATTGCTTTAATATGTAGCAAAATGTCAGGTTAAAACAAACAAATGCGAGTTGGATTTATAATTTTTAAGTCTAATTTCCAAAAACATAAATCAGTAACTGCATTGAATACCTTCACATTAAAGCCTACACTGGTGTGTAGCAGTGACCCACTGCTGCATTAAATTACAGCAGAAGCACTTAGTGTTTTTTATGTTTTCAAATATAGATTTCTTCTATGATTGTTTTATGTTAAATTGGTTCCTTAATATATAAAAATGTAGGAATTTAACTTGTGGCAGGTCGGGCCAGGTTAGCACTGATCGCCCAGCTTTCTCAGTAATTAAAGAGAACTACACCCTAGCATCTGCCATCAGCATAAAATCTTCTCACTCATACTTTTGTTGTGTGGAAACGGGTATTGTCGCAGTCACACTAGTGGTCTTATGGCTCCATTTTGTATGATCTGAAATGACTGACGGCCACCATTCAACACCCACTCTGCGCTCGCAGCACATAATAACACACTGATTTGTGTGGACGAGCTTGTAAAGCCAGCCAGTGAGACGTTTGTCAGACACGCAATTGTGAGCTAAAATGTAATGAGTGGGCAGGTCTGTGCCTCTTTAGTGCTCTGATTAGACAATGGGTACTCACTAAAAGGTCTGCTCCCCACTTCACATGCAGACAGAGATGTCCTGTTGTACAGAAAACAACAGCCCACACTCTGATCAGCTGAGACTATAGACTATGCTGCAAGCTTTTACTATAGCAAATGCTCTGATACAATAAGATGACCGATTTGTGTGTCTGTGTAGCAAGTTATAGCTTAAGTTATAAAGGGTTATAAAGTGTTTTGCTGATATGGCCTCCCCATCTAACACATTGCAGTTCAGCTCATGTGTGTGTGTTCCTGTTTAGACATCTTTGTGAAGACCAAAACTGGCATTCTACTATACTTGTGAGGACCAACAGTCATTTGTGAGGACACACACGTTGGTCCTCACGAGTTTAAAGGCTATTTTGAGGCTCAAAATGTGGTTTTAGTGTCAGGTTTACAATTAGGTTATGGTTATGGTTAGGTTGAGGGTGAGAGTTAGGATTAGGTATTAATTTTTGATGGTTAGGGTTGGGGCAGGACAAGTTCCTGCCTCAAGTGGAGGAGTTTAAGTATCTCGGGTCTTGTTCACGAGTGATGGAAGAAGGGAGCCGGAGATCGACAGACGGATTGGTGCTGCGGCTGCAGCGATGTGGACGCTGTACCGGTCTGTCGTGGTGAAGAGAGAGCTGAGCGTAAAAGTGAAGCTCTCATTTTACTGGTCAGTCTACTTCCCTACCCTCACCTATGGTCACGAGCTGTGGGTAATGACCGAAAGAAGAGATTGCGGATACAAGCAGCGGAAATGAGCTTCCTCCGAAGGGTGGCTGGCCTCTCCCTTAGAGATAGGGTGAGAAGTTCGGCCATCTGGGAGGGGCTCAGAGTAGAGCCGCTGCTCCTCCACATCGAAAGGAGCCAGTTGAGGTGGTTCAGGCATCTGACAAGGTATGTCCCACCGGGAGGAGGCCCCGGGGCAGACACATGACAGGCTGGAGAGATGATATCTCTCGGCTGGCCAGGAGGTTTTCAGAAGAATTTCACTCGCATGTACTGTACCAGTGTACCTGCACATGTGATGTGACAATAAAAGTGATTTGATTTGAGGTGCTAGAGGAGGTGGCTGGGGAGAGGTAGGTCTGGGCTTCTCTGCTCAGGCTGGGATAAGCGGGAAAAAAATGGATGGATGGTTCGGGTTAGAGATGTCGTTCAGCCATCACTAAGATAGCTGAACCACCGTGTGTGTGTGTGTGTGGTTCTTTAAATGTGCCAACTGAGTGCTGCTGTTTATGTAATATGAAACTAGTTAAGAGCAAAACAGTGTAGTTCAATTTAGCAATGACAACTTGTTAAATGCATTTGTGTTGCCTTATATCCTGCCATATGTGCCAAGGTGCTTCTGTAAGAGCCTGTGAAAAATAATCCCTGTTACGCAAATTGATTGCTTGTTTAAAAATCACATTAAGGTTTGTAGTTGACAGCTTAGGTCATAAAATGAATGATTTGTAACAAAGTTCAGCTTTGGGGGTTTTTTTGGTTGGGTTTCCACATCATTCTTTTTTCTGTTATAAATTGTGACTTTGTCACAAAAACGACATGGGTGGAATAAGTAATAACACAGCAGTGATTCTCTGCTAAAACATATCCGAGTGAACAAAACTGCGAGTTAGCGGGTGGGTAATGTATCACAGATCCACACAAAGTCTAATCAGAATCTCAGCTGGAGGTGTAGCCACACTCCCGCCCTGTGAAACGACTTTGTCCTCTGGCTCATCATAAGCGAGGTTAGGAGATCAAAAAGGAAGTCATTTTTGGCTCCTGTGTGTCAATGCTGTGGATGTAATTAGCTTTGTTCTGATAACATACACTCAACACATCCCCCCCGACAGGTGTGAAACACTGCACTTCCTAATCAGATACCTGCACTGTAATCAGGAGACAATCTTAATGACCTGTCTTATATGCCAAATGCTCACTTCTGTTTCCCATCTCATCACACTGCTTCTCCCCAAAAGTCAATGAAACAAATTAAATTCTTTTCCGGTAATGACTACCTTTTTGCTTGGAATCATGCAAAGCTCTGCATTTTTCAATTAAACTCGCCATTGTTTATAATAGAAAAAGATCTAATAAAGATATTGATAAAGTGTGTTTGTAGGGGGTTGGAATAGTTTCCATTTGTGAAGTTTTGGTCTATTTGACATGTAGACTACGCTCTATAGGCAACCTGTCTCTTCTCTGAAACTCAAGACTGGTTCAAGGAATTATTGATGGACTTTGTGAATAATTCATGGGCATTGATAAAGTCTCGTATTTCATTTGGATGGCCTGTGGCCAGTGACTGTCAAAGGTAAAGTTAGTTTTTGACAGGTTTTTGTACTTGTCCTCAGGTTTCTATTCAGTCTTTTTTTCGGACTGGAAGACCTATAGCCTGTGTCACAAAAGAAAATATTTCTAATACTTTTTTTTCTTAAAACATTGAGTGATGCAGTACCTGAGCACTGTTTCCTCACAGCAAGAAGGCCCAAGGTTTGAATCTGCTTGCCAGCTGAGGCCTCACTATGTAGAATTTGCGTGTTCTCCATGTGCCTGCACAGAGTTCTCTCCGGGCATTTTGGCTTCGTTCTGTGGTCCAAAGTTATGCATGTTAGGTAAACTGGTGATTCTGGGTTAGGATTTTTCTGCCTGTTGTCCTGTCTGAATATTATGTACAATGAGTTTAATACTACTTGTACATGTTTTTATAGTATAGTATACTGCTATATACACTATACACTGTATTAGATACATCTTGCTAATGCAGGATTTGACCCTAAAAAAGTTTTGGAAACATTCCTCAAAGATTTTTGTCCATGTTGACATGAGAGCATCACACAGTTGATGCAGATTAGTCGGATATACATCTATGATGAAATTCTCTGATTCTATCGCATCCCAAAAGTGCTCTATTGGCTGAGATCTGGTAACTGTGGAGTCCATTTGAGTACAGTGAATTCATTGTTATGTTCAAGATACCAGTTTGAGGCCCAGCCAGTGCACTCACGCTGAACCCAAGAATGAATGGTCAGAGTTGCATCTGGTATAAAATCTTTGCCAAATTAAACATGCGGATCATCAAGAATGAGATTTCCATACTAGTTAGCAACAAGCGCCTCCGGTGCAGTTGGCCAGCAGGGTACCGGTGGAAATTGTCGTGCTGTTGGCTGAAGACAAAGGAAGAGGAGATGGGAAAGGCAGGTGAGAGTAGGGACTTTAAATGTCAGGACCGTAGCACAGGACGAGGGCTGGCTGATATGATCTGAAGAAAGAAAATTAATATAATGCGTTTTCAGGAGACCAGGTAGATGGGAAGCAAGGCCAGGAGTGTTTGAGGTGGATTCAGACTGTTCCACCATGGTGTGGACAGGAAGCGAAATGGAGTAGGAGTAATCTTGAAGGAAGAGTGTGTGGATAGTTTTGTGGAGATGAAGAGAGTTTCAGACCAGGGTGGACAGGATTAGAAATAGTGTATCAGCTCAGGTTGAGCAGTTTGGAGACAAAGTTAGAGAAGCAAGGCTGATGGTTTGGACATGTGCAGACGAGGGATAGTGAAATTGGAAAAAGGATGCTGAATATCAAGCTGTCAGGTCGGAGGAAAAGAGGAAGACCTCAACTGCGAACGTTTGAGGCTGAAACTTGAGGGGGAGAAAAATGTGCGTTTAAGACCGTTAAAAATGAAAGTGCAAAAAGTACGATTAGAGTAACACGCAAACATCATGTTGGATTTATTAAGTCACAATTTCAGTTGTTTCACAGAACAATTTTTCTTTTTTTTTTTGAATGCTATATTTGCAGCTCCTCTTTAATAAAGCACCCCAACAGTTTTTCACTTGTTGATACTTATCGTGCTGTGTGGAAAAGAAATCTCATGTGTTCTTTATGGTTCTAATTGCACATCAGGTTCACCACAGAGGTTACAGCTCTCTGTGTTGTTACAAGTATTAAATTATACGGCTGTCTAAATGAGAAGCCCTTAAATGTCAAAGGCATATCAGGCTTTTTGACATCTATTGTTAAAGCTGTAAGACATGCGTGTGCCGCAGTTCTAACGAGGGCCAATGGGCTTGTGTTTCTCTTTTGATTGCGTATTTATTTTTAGCAATACTTTAGCTGCCCTGTTATTTAAACATCCAGCACAGCTGGAACATTAACTGCCATTTTCGCTAATTTTATTTAACTTTCAGAGCCTTTGTGGGGGGTTTTTTAATGTTCTTTTCTTTTCTTTTCTTATGACCCATCTTTTCATTCACTTTCACCTTTTCTCTTGCCAGGCATGGAACACGGTGTGCAGGAGAAGTTGCAGCTGCAGCAAACAATGGTGTATGTGGCGTGGGTGTGGCCTATAATGCTAAAATTGGAGGTGAGTTAAGCACACGATTGATATTTTTCATTTGGCAGAAGGTTTAATCAGTATTATACTCATTTAAATGAGTTTATGATAATTTCACTTAGAACTGATACAGAACAAAATACACATTCACCATTAATAACTTGGAAGTTAATGTCTTTCTTCTAAGATCTCTGGGACTTTGGGTTTTGTGTCAGAACGACAATTTTGCAGCAGCTCAGGCTTCGCATTATATTAATGATCCAGTGATAGATTTTAAAGCTAATATCCATAATGTTTTTTTCTGGACCACTGACTCTCATTTACTGACTGACTGACTCTGTATTGTTCAGATGTACAAGTGAGAGTGTGCTGCAGCGATAGGCAGTATTATGCAGTGAATAGTTCTTTATCCAAAGCCTGTGAGATGAATTGCTTTTGATCATTTGCTGCAGTTTTTCTTGCCTGGAAATAAGTAGATCATGACTTAATTAAAACTCCTATGCTCCAGTAAAACAAATAAAATGGTCACTGCAACGATTTCATCCCTGCATTTAAAGCGGTTAGCTTCATGTTCAATGTTTATGAAAGGCTCAATCTGATTTTCTTAATTCGTGTCAGTGCCTTCATTGTGCTGCCCTCCACCTTTATTTGGCTCTCCACATAAAACGTAATATTTTTAAAAATTAATTTGTTTATTTTAATCAAGTCGGATTTCCAAAGTTAGTTAAACTGTTGATACATATTCATATGTTTATATGAAAGTTAGTCAAAATTAGACTCTTTGGGGAGAATCTTTTCCAATCAGTAATTAAGCTGTCAGCCTGTGCAGATATACGTACAGAAAGATGCTGTATGTAGAGCAGTTCATTCAAATTAAATCTGCGAAAACAAATCAAGTCTGGAAGGATTATTTTTCCTCCTGAATATTTTTGTGTTTGATAAATTATTCCAAGAAGGCCTTTAGTAACTTTTGTCATCAAACAATCTGTCAATGCCATGATGGCAGCCAACAAGACTCAGCGGAGCCGGTGGAGCCCTGAGCAGCCTGTTCACAGATGTTACTCATAACTCTCCTTCTTTGTCTTCATTACCATTCATCTCTCGACAGAGCTGCGCATTGGCCCCGCTCTCATAAATTATTCCTCTGTGAATCTGTTCACGTCACGGCATCAGTGGATTGCTTATAAACAGCTGTGATTCGCTCCCAAGCACTCAAGTTGTGTGTGTTTTTTGTGTGGGTGGGTATGCGTGTGTGAGCAGAAGCAGTCGTGTTTGTGCTAAAGCTAAAATATGTGTGTCCTTACAGAGTAATAATTAGCGATTAGTACTTAAAACCTGTAATTGATCCTACTTAGCTGACTCTGTGTTTCCTCTCCATCTACTGTACTTGGTTTCCTTGTGCCTGCACATACACTCATAGCTGCACCGGTAGCTGCTACCTGTGACTTAATAAAGCTGCAGGGAATTCACGCAAGTGTCTTACTCAGGAATCATCAAGCCGCAGGAAGCTGATGAGAATTGTTACGACAGTAATTACCTTTACTGCTGCAGTGCAGCCCTCGCGTAACGATCACAGAGCAAACAATGTGCTTTATGTTGCATGTTTAGCGCAGTTACGTTTGCTTCGGGCTGCTTAGTATTCAAAGACGTGTTGCACTGAATGCCTGCGCCAACTCTGTAATTACAGCCTTGGTCACATCCCCACTGGTGTATGTTTGTTCCTACAGGGTTAGGCAGGTTCGCTAGAACGAATTATTGAAGTCTTAATGCGGGGACGTTGTCAGTCTTAGTGTATCCTCTGAGGTCCGGGGGTCCTCTAACAGTAATGGACCTTATTTGAGGGTGGGTTATTTCACGCTTCTCTACAGCTATTAATGTTCAGAGGAATGATCTGAGGCTGCTCACATCAAAGACTCAGACAGGTTTGCGTTCAGGTATGATGAAAGGTGACATGCGGCGCTACCCTGTGGACACGGCAGACTGCTGAAGGCTCTGTAAACTCTCAGCTCATTTTTACCTGTGCGTGTGTGGCTTTCTCTCATCTGCGGACTCTTGGATTCTTCTGCTTGTCCTCTCTATAGGTTTTGGTGGGGTCAGGAAGGTTGGTTTAACAACCCCCTGGGTTTTGTTTACATGATGCTTAAATAGTGTAGTATCCACCAGAGCAGCATCCGTGGGCGAGCTTTGTGTGCTTACTCATTAAAACTGAGACTCTGTGAAGTCTTGGTTTCCTTGTGAAGAGCTTGGTTTTTCCAGTTTTCAGTTTTCTTGTGTTTTTCTTTTTCCAGCTGGAGAAAAAAAGAGAAAGAAAATTTACGTTCTAACTGATTCGCTTGACTTTTTTCTTCTTTTTCTTTTTATCAACTTACGCCTGTTTTGTCTCTAAGGTATCTCACAACTCCCTCTGCCGTCTGTCACACTGTCACTATTTCTTCATAACTTTCTCTTCGGTAACCTTATCTAAACCCTCCATTGTGTTTTTGTTTTAATAGGAGTTCGTATGTTGGATGGGGAGGTGACAGATGTAGTGGAGGCTCAGTCTCTTAGCCTGAACCCTCAGCACATCCACATTTACAGTGCCAGCTGGGGCCCGGAAGATGACGGCAAGTCTCTGGATGGCCCTGCCAAGCTGGCTAAGGAGGCTTTCCTCCAGGGAATCACCAAGGTCAGTCAGAGCACAAACATGGTCTTTTAATTTACTAATGTCTTGCATTTCTTATTTATAGTATCACTATCAAAGTCACATCACCTCTTTAGTGTAGTCAAAGGAGCTTGCAAAGAAAGTGTAATAAATCAACATTCTGGGAGACTCATATTTACTTGGTTTATGATGAGACGCCATCAAGCTTAGCTCAGCTTAGCTCACAAGCTGTGATCAAAAGGCTTCACAATTACACACAAAATAAAAAAACAGGAATCATCGTTCATTTAAATTTAGCTGTAGATTGCTGCCTGTGCAGAAGCAGTTTTAACCACTTATACCTGTGCATCTGAATGTCCTCTACCGCGTTTGCTGAGGCTCTCTTTAATTTGACTTTTATCTTGGGAATGAGGACAGAGTCACAAGGAGCCAGTAAAGTAAAGTAATGTAGGTGGTCTGCAAAGACTTTGTTGCTGAGGCCAAAAAAAAACTCCCTTTCAATGCACTTTGTGTCAGTGCGTGACGGCCCCCAGTATACTTCAGTTTGTTTCCGCTGAATGTTCTACCTCAGATGTTACAGTGAAACTTTCATTGACAGTCTGACCCTGGGGGACACATTCACGGTGCACAACCCTGTGAATGTCAGAAAAACGATGACCACGCTCCTGGTTGAGCTTCTTACCTGATGCACCGCCTTCAGGCTTGGACACAGCAGACGCTTTCACTAAAACCAGCTTTTTGATCTGTGGGTAATAGCCGGAGACTCAGCTCTCATCGCAGCTGATGATGAATCTCAACATGAAAGCCGGGTCAGATTGACACAGAAGGTGGTATTTTTTATTTGCCAAAGTTTGAGACCCAAGGTGAAATTGGTCTGAAAAAGACTTCCCAGGAGTTATTTAAAAATGCCAGCTGTGTCCGAAGCAGTCCAGAGGTGCACAAGAAGACGATCTTAAGTGAGAGATGGGCTCAATTTAAATACGATGAGTAAGAGAGAATGTGTTTGGCTCAAAAGATTCAGTGTAAACATTCACTGGTTGATTTTTACATGAAACTGTTTTGATTGCATCACTGCTTGTTCTGTGTGCCTTTGCATTCCACAGTGATAAATTACTGAAATGCAGAAACATCCAGATGCAAAAGTGTTGGAGATAGTTTTGGGCTCATGTTAGGCCAACAGAAACACAAAACAACAGGGACACACACTTTAACACAAAGACCAGCTGCATTCTCTGATAGTTGTCTTGTAGCTGGTCCCAAAAATGTTAATCAGTGAGTTTCAGAGGAGCAGTAGGTGGATTTTGTTGCCTTTATAAAACTAGACTGCTTGTTTAAGCTCTTGGCTCACTTTGCAAAGAAGCAAAAAAGTGTGTGTGTGTGTGTGTGTGGGGGGGGGGGGGGGGGGGTTATAAGTCAATCCGATATATTTTTGATTTTATAGCAGTTATAGAAGTTAAAGGACTCTTCTTTTCTCTTCTCTTCTTTTTCTCTTCATGCCAGGTAGGTTTTACCTTTTTCCCTTAATAAATTAAATCATCACTTAAAAACTGCAATTGGGATACATTTTGTTTAAAAAATTGTTTCAGTGCTGTGAAACATGCAACTGTGAAAAATATTTTTTAAAAACTGAAAAATCAAGAAGTGCACAAAGCCTTTTTCACAGTAGTGGTCTTTCCAGGTGTAAATCACCAAAAAGTAATCAAGCGAAGCCTCATGATTCCCAAGCAGCTGGTGATGGTAAGGAGAAAAAAGTCTCTCTTTTCCAGGAAGAACACTTTAATAGAACAAGTCAGAAAAGTTCTGGACAATTTTCTACCTGTACAGTCAGAGCATATTACTTTTTAATTGATGATGGCTTCCCAAGACTGAGGAGAAGGACAAACTCAAGGTTAGTTTGCAAAATTGCCCTCTGCTTAGTCATTCAAGCTTGAATAGAATAAAACATTAAACAGTTTGGACTATTAACTAAGTCTAATACCAACATTTTTCATGTGTCAGTATGTGGCATCAAAAGACGTTATGAGAATAGGCTAATGATAAATGTGAGATGGGAGATAACAGAAAGAGAGGAGCAGTCACTGATGCGGAACAACAGTTACATTAAAACTCTGCTCTAATTGGCATATAAATTAATGAAAATTTTCAGTGAAACCGAATGACTCATTTATAGAATCCCATAATGCAAAATGCTCCTGATATCATGGTGTGTTAGTGAGGAAAGACTGCCTCACAGCAACAAAGCAGGAGCTGACTGGTTCAGTGTGTGCTCTCCTGGCAGCAAGATAACCCTTGGCACTGGACTGTTATCGTCTGGCTTCTGTAACCTGCAACCAGGACAGCGTCAGGCCATAAATTAAGAGTAGTATGTACAGCTTCTCTAGCCTCTACTGTTAGGACACAGTTTGATTTGGACTGCATCGCCCAGCAGATGTAGTCTTATCCTGGATTCCTTTGAGAGATCATTTGCGAGATGGGGATGTGGGAATCCATTAAGAAAATTAAATGGATAATCGTTTTAAAAACGTACTGAACAAGCTTAGTTAAAATTTGTATTCGCATCTTATTGAATTTCCTTTGTACGATTATGAGCTTAACATTTCTGTGATTAGCCATGCCGGGGACGGGCAGTGTTACGACAACAGTGATAAGGAATAAAATATTCCAGCATCTTATCTTTACTAGCAAGATACCAAGAAAATCAGCTAATTTAGTTTTATACTTGATGTAAAAACACAACAATGATACACACTGGTCTGCTCAGTCAGTATGATTAACGATGAAAGAGGTACAAAACAGAGGAGC